AGAGTCTCTGAGATTCACGGACAGATCTTCACACTCCTGAAATGAATCGAACGAATGAATTGTTTCCTGCAAAAGCCCCCTCCCCTTTTGCTCCTCTTTTATTTCCTATGAGATGGCCCCAATCACCTTCCACCTGTGACTTTACTCCCAAGTCTACCCTGATTTCTGAGTCATTCTTTTCTTCTGGCAGCTCTGCGCATGCGCACACTCGGAACAGGCTCCAGCTGTTCCTCTGCCTCACTGCTGTCTAGCTCCGAATGCAGCTGATCACTGCCAGACGGCCTCAGCCCCTTCTCTGCCTCTGACGCAGAGTCCTTGTCCAAGCCTTCCCCAGGATCCAGGATCGGACCATTTTTCCTCCCCAACCTCCTCACTGTCTGACTCTGCTGCTGGCCATACAGAATCTTCCTTTTCCTGCAGGTCACAGAGATCAGCAACGTGAAATGTATCACGAGGCTGCCCAAGGAGACCAAACGCCAAGCGGTGGCAATCATATTTATGGACGACTCAGCCCGGACGTTCACCTGTGAATCAGGTGGGAGGCGGCGGCTGCTGGAACGGCAGAATTTCTCACTGCTTTGGAGCGATGGCTGACAAAGCTGGACGGGATCGGGTGGGGTTGCAGTTGAATAACCATGAGCCTAAGTGCTGTTCGTTTGTCTTGGCAGAACTGGAAGCCGAGGAGTGGTACAAAACGCTGTCCGTCGAATGCCTGGGGGCACGGCTCAATGACATCAGCCTCGGCGAGCCAGATCTGCTGGCGCCCGGAGTTCAGTGTGAGCAAACAGGTAAGGCAGGTGTCCTTCCCTTGGTCAGTCCAAACCTGGGAATCCGGCCATATGCAATCTTTGCTTTTGTTGCAGGCCTTCAGGCCTTTTATCATCAGACTGCAATTTTCAACGTGCTGTCTAGAAGGGGAAGATTATATAAGGAGTGTAGCCATCCTGTTCATTGCATTTAATGTCATTTGCCTTAAAGTAAAACAAAACGTGAAGCTTGCTTTTATCCACTTAAATGTTTTATCAGGTGCCTGACCTCCCTCCCCTCCCTCCTGCCCACCTGCTTTTGAAGGCCATCCCTGGTGTGCTCCAGGAAGACCCTAGGTGGACATCATCCTAAAAGATGCGTGTCTCCCTGTCTTGGAAAGAGGAAGAGGGGGTGGAAGGATGGATTTTGGAAATGATGGGGTTGTCTGAGATGACAAAATTGACTGCTCTGCTCGAAGACAATAACGAATAAATTGCTGGTGATTTGGAGGCCAATGTTAGAATTCTTACACGATAAGGAGAAAAATCAACTTTTGATTTTGGGATTTGAGAATTAAATCTGATTTAATTAGAAAATATTGGAGTTAGGGTTAAGGTCAGGCTTTTTCAAATATATGATTATTCATATTATGTGTTAGATTAAAATTGGGAAAAGAAAATAATATGATTATTGGGTTTTTTTAGTGTTACTAACTAGTTCTTTATTAGTTCTTTATGCTAATTTAACTATTGATGTTCATTGAAACCAGAGACAGTATTATTTACCTTTGTACTGAAAAAAAAAATGTTTTTTACTTGCTCAGTGTATTATTATTTTTTTTGCTCACTTTTTAATCTGTCCTGTTATTCTCTATTTTCCCTTTTATGATAATTTGTATTTTAATGTTTGTTTATGAGATATAAAAAACATACTTGTAAAAAAAGTAGAAAAGAGAAAGGGGGCAGAACCTACAAAGTGCTTTTTGAAAGGCTCAAGAAAAACAGTTGCTAGAAAAATGTTTGAAATTGTGCTGGGCAGTGAAGATCAACAAATCATGGCCACAGATCAAGACTCGACTCGACTCGACTCGACTCGACTCGACTCGACTCGACTCGACTCGACTCGACTCGACTCG